GCCAGGATCCCGCGGGATCCCGTCCGGGATCCTGTGCGGGATCCCGCTCGAAAAATATCGGGATCCCGCGAGATCCCGGTCATCCCACGAAAAATGCTGGGATCCCGCCAGAAAATGACTGTTATATTATTGCCTTAAGGAACCAAATACTGAATCAACTCTCAATTCCATCCTTCTTTTTTTGTTTTCTTGTCTTATCGTTGAATTTGAGCACTGTGTTATCGTGTCGAATCCAGTTTATTATTCACTAATTTCTATATTCTTTTTACATGTTCAAAGCGTATAATAAGCAAGATAATAGAGAAATAAGAGAAAAAAAAAGGTTTATCACATTAGTCGTATAAGAAAAGCAAAAATACAAAAAATAAATTAGTTGAGATCACGCCAGTCATCTTGATATGTACATGTTGCCGTAAAAAAATATATAAAGTTTTAGGCATTTGTTGATGAATTTGTTTGAATTGTAGTTTGTTGTTTTTTTAAACCCTTTTTAATATCTCGACGTTTGTTTAAAAATGTTTCATGTAAATTACACCATTCAATTTTTAAAATATTATCTGATAATCGAAATTTATTTCGTACAGCTTCTAAAAAAAAAGAGATGTGATAAGCAATATATGAGATTATTTGTGCTAAACAAACAAGATAAAGTAAATTTTTAGTCAAACCTTGTATTAATTTATAACCATCATCAAATTTGATTTTTGTTGCATCAAGTTGCAATAACTCTTCACGTGTAAAAACAATATCAATTAATGATGTTACATACAAATTCATCTTTTGTTTAACACCAGTTATTGATAATAAATCAACATCATTTCCATCGTTTGGATTTTTATACATCTAAAAAATTAAAACAAATCTTATGAACAAACGATTGGTATAAAAAAGGACATGAAAAACATTTGTTTCAAAAGTTTTTTCTTCACATGTTATTACTCTGTTTAAAGCTATTTGAACGTACCATTATTGTTTCAAATGTTTTTTCTTCAACTGATTGTTCTACATTTGGTTCTTCTAATGGTATATATATCTAAATGGAAATAAATAAATATAAAAATCTTGCCCATAATAGTCAGTCTTTAACCGTGCTAGTATGTAAAAATGCGCCGTTAATTTATGCAAGATTTTACTAGAATACGTTTTTAGATTTTCACTCTAGACAGCCTTTGAAACTTGTAGCCTGGTAACTTACGAAAAAAGATTTCAGACCGTAATATTTTCTAGGTTATTCTTAATCAAGCAGTAAACGATAAAGAGAAATTAGCTCAAAATGAGACTTTTTATCCCAATATCGGTCTAGCTGTTGCAGAAAGTGACTCTTCTTACCTTTTTTTTACATAAGGCTTTTTGTATCTTTTTCTGATTTTCAAATAACATTTTAATCATATTTTCTTGCCTTTCTTGTCCAATTAATATTTGTTTTAAATATTTTTCTTCTATGTTTGTAATGCTTAACAATGATTGTTTTAATGAAACCATAAGTTCTTTTTGTGATGGTTCTTCTTTATCATCATTTATACCAAGAATCTTTCGGCCAGCTAATGGTTTCGGTGTATGAAGAATTGATATTGATGATGACGATGGTGTTGTTTGATTTGATGGTTTTCTTGGTGGTGGTTTATTTTCATAATCACTATCATCATCGTCATCATATTCCGATTGTTGTGTATCAACTATAAAAGTAGATGACGGAGTTGATATGGTTGTATTTGGTGGGGTAAACTTTTTTGATGATGTACATTGACGTTTTGATTTTATATTTGTTGCTTTTGTACGCTTGCTATGTTGTCGTTGTGGTGACGATTTTAAATCTTCACAATCATTACTATGATAATTATTAATTGTTTGTTTCAAATAACGAAGATTATCACCAGCACCTCAATGTAAATAATAAATTCACTTTTTATGGAAGAAAGATAACATTTGAAAGGAAAGACCTCATACAGGGGATTCTCCACCCATTTTTTTCACCAGTTTGCAGGGGATATCCCAAAGAAGTTTTCGAATCCGAGACTTGTAGCTTTCGATGAAAAATTTTAGTTTTTTAAATTTTCTTTGTATTTTTTGGTATTTTTCAATGTTAAAAGCAAAGAGAGTTTTGAAAAGTTCTAAGTCACTTCGAAATTCGATTGTGAAAAAGTTTTGCTTAATACTTCAGCGTCTAGTATTGTCAATCTTAAAGATTGAGCTTAAGACGTTTAGCGACATCAAAGTATTATCTCATAGGAAAAATCATGATAAACAAATTTTACACTCATGTTTTTGCTCCAGAATGCTTCCTCGCAGAGAACTGCAGACAAAATTTCGAAAAAGCACACTTTTGGCCTCCAAAGCCCATTCTCAAGATCAAATCCAAATTTTAAAGTCAAACCCTTAATAGAAAGCACATTGCGCCAGAGATAGACACGTAAAAGGAAAAATAAAAGAGTGAAGCTATAAGAAAAAACAAAAACCTTCTTTTCTCATACCTAATGTACTATGTATATTTTTTGATTGTGAATTAATAGTTACATTTTTACATGCTTTTCCTGGAAAAAAATTGAAATCGTAAACGAAAAATTCATATAGTAGAATAGGAATATACTTACCCAAATCTTCAAACGGAATATCTGATAAACTTGTAATTGTTGGTTCTCCTTTAAGTAAAGATAGAAGAAAAATAGTGCAGATATTACGGTTCAGTGAAGAATTAAATCAATATTCCTACTTGGTTGTACTTTAACAATTGTCGTGGTTTTTGTTTTCATTTTATGTTTTTGTTCTGGATCATAATCAGATTCAATATCTGTATTTATAGCTTTTCCTAATAATTTTTGTGCTTCGTGTAATTCAGCCATTGTACCTATAATAGAAAGAGAAATAGACAAAAGATAACTTTTCACATTTAAAAAATAAATTCACGTTTATCTGATACCTTCTTTGAAAACCATTGCCAGATATTTTTTACTGCCACTTTGTACAGTAATTAATCCATCGTGTTCTGAATTTGAACACTGTTTATTATTAACAATAGAAAATGTATTGTCACTTGGAAATATTACAAGTTTATATTTTTGTTCGGCATTGGTTATGCTATAAGTTTTGTAAGATTTTTTATAAATATTAGTATCGTCTAACATATCTAAATTACTGTGCATAATGAATAAAAAAATCAATAAATAGATCGATTTTATGTCGCAAGAATAGAAGAATGATCGTCATAGCGGCCGACTATTGTGTAAACAGACATTGAATCAGAAAAAGAACAATGGTGACGGTCAAGTCGATCTGAAGGAGTAATGATTGACGGATGAGACAATGACAATAATCTTTTTCGTCTGGCATAAAATATGCTATACATAGTTGCGTACGCGAACAGTCGTTCACGTTGTTCTCGGCTGTAAAATAAGTCAACATACACAGCTGTTTGCAAAAACACTTACACAAAATTAGAACTTTTTTCTAGTATTTTTATGTTATATGAAACAACTGTAGACTTCGTATCTTTAATGACGATTCTTCGACAGATGGACAGAAGTGTCCTTATGAAAGTGCGTTTGATTTTGTTTTAGATATATATAAATAATCTATATCATTCACTTCTTACCCTCAAAATCTGTTATATATTCATATTACATTATTGAAGCAAAGCTGTGAGATCAGCTAGAGTTGTGAAGTGTACAACAAAAACTTCTATAAGCCTTCTCTATTCACAATATAAACAAATTAAAACAAGTATATTTAATTGGTTATAGAAAGAGAAATAGTCAATGATACGTCCTAAGTGTCAAAGAAAAAGGAGTCCTTAACCAATATATTCGTCCTGATAATAAGATAATGCTTCAAAAAATAAATGAAAACATCTAAAATCCGAAAAGACGTAATATTCTTTAACTATTGCCTCGTTTTGAAATGAAATTTCGCGAAAACTAGCGTTTGCAACAAGATAATAACCTCAAAAACACTAGTAATATTGATAAACAGTTTCTCAACGATAATGTACCTCAAACGATGGAACGATCAGTTTACAGTCTGAATCGAAACCGTGACACATAAAGTTGAAAGCAGAAAAACAAAATCAAGATACTGAAAAGATTTTTAGTAGAAAAGTTTAAAAATGTTGATAGTACTGTTGTAATAGATTGTACATTGCTTATGAAAAAGTGATGTTTTTCTGTTATTTCTTTCAAAAGTGAATGGATGAAATTTAAAATTAGTGCAATGCAGTATTCTTTGTGGCCTATCATTTGAGAGATGAAACGAATCAATAAGACATATTTAGAAATAAATACCCGCAAAGCAAGGTGTACAAAATTTTTTGCAAAAAGCTGCATGTATGGTATTGACCTTTTAGTGAAAAAATGTTCACGAAATTAGCCGAGACGGGAAACAGTCTGAGAACAACTCCTGGTGGGCGTAGAAAGGACAGTTTCTCATTGTTCCGTCAGTCTCTGTTTTGCATCGATACCGAAAACAACAGCAAACAAGTTTAATCGTGTTCAAAGTCCACCCTTATTTCTGACAGACAAAAAATATCTTGAAAAGGAACAGCAATACATTTGTGACGAATACTATTGATAGGTATAATTGTAAAATTTGATGTTAACATTAATAATGCATATAATTCATCTAGTTTTTGATGCATTTCTGATGGAATTGTAACAAATTGTGACATTTTTTTATTCGTTGCTTGATATTTTTGTACAAAAATGAAATAATCATCATGATATTTATAAAATAATATAATATTTCCATATTCTACACCTAAATCAGATTTAAATGAAATAATATAACTAACACAATTAAATGGTTCATCATATAATAACGTATGATAAGTAATAAACTTATCTTTATAACGTTTATAAAATATAATATCATTATGTTTTTGATTTTCAATTGTAATAAGATTCATTAATATTGGACGATACGGATCAATGGAAGCATGATTTAGTTGTATTTCATTAACAGCAGTGGATGATGGAATTTCAAATTCTGTTGTTTTATTGATATATTCAATATCGGTCCAATATGCAATTTGACTAGCTAGATGTTTTGTTCCATGCACCTTCTTTTTTATATGACGTATACAAGATTCAAATGAAAAAGCAGATGTAAAAGCTAAACCATGATGTACTGTTGTTTGTGTTGGAAGATGCAGATGGGCATGTAATGAAAATAATTCGATAGATGGATCATATACTAATGGTGCTGCTTTACAATAATAATGGATCAAGTGATTGGCAAAATCTATTTCATCATCCGTTGCTGGTGCATGTAATAATTTAATGACCATTGAATAAATAACAAAATGAGAAGCATACAATGGTGGTAAATGACTAACACAAATAGGAACACCAACATAAAGTACGAATAATCTTGAATTTTTTGCTTTCCATTGATCTACAGCAGTAATTGAATCAAGATAATTAACTTTCATATTATGTGGTAAACGTATTTGTTTCAATTGCTCATCAATATCTTGTACATTTTGCTTATTAATAATTTTACACCATCGTTTGATTAATGTAGGTACATGACCAAGACATACCAGGTGCATGTAGTCAAATACAATTTGTGATGGATAAGAAAATATTTCTAATAAAGCTGATAAACCTTTAATACCATCAACTGTAACTTTTCGCCCACCACTGGATTTTTTAAGAGCTTCTTGAGCAGCTTTTAAATATCCATTATGTGTACGTTCAGTGTAATCATTACCATTGTATGGATATAAAACCACTTTATATGTTTCATTCCATTCACCTAAATAAACAAAAAGCCTGATGTTATAAACATTTATACACTACAAAAACAAAAGTTCTAGCTCGAAAAAGAGCATTCAGAACATCTGCCAAAATTTTTAAAAAATTCTTTAATGAGAAGTAATAAAATAGTTATACCTTTTGTACGACAACAACTACATGCATAGTAGCCATTAAAGTTAATTGTATTACAAAATAATGCTTTTGCTGGTAAATCTGATATAAAATATTGCGTTAATAAAATGATATTGAATTCATGTTCATTAATAAATAAACTTGTTCCATTTTTCATCAAATATTTTAATTCTTTCACACTTTCTTCTAAAAATATGTTAACATCTGGCTTCTTTCGTGAAGACCATAATGCCACGATAATGGTATTCATTTGATATTCCCGAATTGGTGGTGGCAATTCCACAATTGAGCCAAAACATGGCCATAATGATTGTTTTGATGTTTTAATTAATGGTGCTCCATCAGAATGAAGAATTATTGTGATGGGATTTCTTCGCTGTAGACTTATTTGTTGATAACGTGAACCATAACATATGTCACTTTCTGGAAATAACTCCTGATGACTTAATACACTAATATTACGACGCATAATTGATTGAATTTGTGAACGAATATCAAAATTTACAATTTCAACGATTTCGTTACTTTTTAACGTTTTAGTATATAAAAAACAGTTATTATTCTTACATTTTTTAATACCGTATTTTGTTTTAATACATTGTTGATGACAGGTTGAACATAAGAATGTTGTTCTGGATAGACATGTTTTACCTAATACTTTCAATACACCTTTCCATGTTGTTGGCATTATATTAGGTTGTGGTAATATTGACTTAATGGTTTTTAATAATTGAATAACATTTTGTTTATCAAGATTGGCATTTGTATAAAAATCACTTAATAATTTGACAGCAGCCTTAACTGTTATTGTACTTTGTTGATATAATGGTTTCGAATGATCTAGATGTACATCCGGATCATGTGTTTCTGTTAAATTATCATATTCATCATCAATATAATTTAAATTAGATGTATCCAATTTATTTACAAGTAAATATTGTTCTGTATAGTCATCATTATTTATCTGTTGGTGTTGTTGTTCATTATCATCACTACACTCATTGGAACTATAATCTGAGATTTCGTTGATAGCTCTTGGTCTATCATATCGACGTTGACGTTGCTTATTAACTTTAAAAGAAGTATGATATTCGTGTTTTCGAGGCATATCTAATCTATAAAAGAAAAGTTGATACTTCAAAATGCGAGATAATTAAAGAAAAACTTACATTGTATGGGACGTTGTTGCTCACGTAGTTCAATCTATCTCCGATGTTATGTGGAGAGCGACTATCTTTATTCAAACAGAAGATGAACTGACATTCACAATATAAAAAAAACGATATATAGTCAGCTGATTATGACAAGAAAATAAATAAAGAAAGAAAATATACATTCGGGAATATATCTCTTCTTTCTTGCTTTCTTTGTGTTTTCTTGTCATAATCAGCTGACTATATATATGTATGTGTCCTGTTCTTTTTCTCTTGTTACCTTTCCTGATGACGGTGAAGGCCTGTCATCGAAAGCGCGAATAAATAATAATAACTATAAAATTAAAAAAAAAATTCTCATGTATTTCGTAGCACTCATTTACTCATTTCTCTCTTCATTAATAAATTGTCTTGAAGCTTCTGTATTAAAAATCGAAACATTCACATCATAGAGTATTCGTTCATCTCATCAACCGCATCATCCATTTTGTCTTCGTTTGTTCACAAGTATGTTACTTGTGAACAAATTGTCCAATCAAAAGAGCATGAAGCACATAGTACTGAACATTTTTAGGTGTAGGTGGTTGTATAGTTGAATTGATTACACTTATTTGTTTAACTACAAACATTCTAATTTGAATCTATTTTAAACATAAAATCGTAGAATGCGATTCACTAAATGAACAAGAAATCATTTGGGATAAAATAATTTTGTCAGAATCCCATTTTTTTGGCCAGGAACCCGCAGGATCCCGTCACTTTTTGCGGGATAGGCGGGAACCCGCGGCTTCCCGCATAGAAAAGTTAATCCCGC